GGAGATGTGACTTTTATTGCATAACACTTAATACATGTGCTAGGGATGTTTTTGTCAGTGGAAATGTTCCATTGTTTTATTACTTTAATAATATTATTTTAATTAATATAATTAATTTTGTAATAAAAAGTAAAGTTCAGATAATATCTGCAGTGGAGCATTGATTAATTGTTGTTTGCTGCAGAGAAATGGCAGCTGGGCGGTAGTAGTAGACTCAAGACCTACACCTAGTACAGTACAGCTCTGCTGTGTGCTCTAGCACCTTGCTAGAGGTGAAGCACATACTAGCAGAGCTGAGAGATGTTTTCTGGAACTTGGAGTAGTGATTATATATGGAAGTCGAAGGCTGCTGTCTTTAAATGTAATCGCTTGCCTTCCCCTTTTTATTTATTGAAGGTAAGCCTTGGGAAATCTGATAAAGATTCTTATAACTGAATTGTACTTAACTTTAGAGAGAGAGCAACATTTCCAAGGTGCAATATGAACAGCTTCTTGATTTGAAGCATCACCTTTTTAAATCTTTGCAGAATTGTCCAAATTGATTTTTTATGCAATGAAAGAGTCGTGTTTTCCATAAATCACATTAAAAATAAAAAACAGAATTGTCACTGTAAATGTCATGTCCAAGAAGGCAACATGCCTGAATGGATTAACAGCAAGTTAGGGACACTGAAGGGAGCAATCTGTGTATGGCAGAGATCACAGTTACTCACTAACTGCAAAGTGCTGATAAAAGCCAGCATGGACCGCTTGCCCTTTCTGTCATTAACTCTTACTCTCACTGCAACACAGAAGAGGCAGAAGTGAAGTGCAGAAAAGTGTTTTTCCATGGCTATATAAAGTACTCTACATATTTATACACGGAAAGTCATGTGTAAACGTTAAAGATACCATTCATGTGTAAATATGTAATTTTTTCTTTGGTCATGTATACGTTTATTGTAGAAGTGTAGATTTTGAACTTAGAATAAGTTTGATTATATTTAGTTATTTAAATATTCACTTTACATTTAAAAACCTCACTCATGACGGTAAAAACATTGCCTTTACTTAGTATAGAAAGTTGTCCAATGCAACATGATATATTGTAAAAGGTTTGAATACATCTGCAAATGCAATGTAATATACTTAAGCATGTAAGGTATAATTTCATGATTTTTCACATCTAAATTAGGTGAAGATTTGTAAGAGATTTTTTTGTTATTAAAAAGTTTATTTTCACCAATTATATTTTGCTATGCCCACCCAATATCAGATTGCCGGTTCTGTGTTTTTCCGTGTGGGCTCGTGGTTACGAACTCTGGGATCTTATTCAGGGGGAGAATGAGGAAGTGTTGTCTGACTGTTCTGGCACACACACCTTTGAGGCACATGGCTTTGTAGATAGTACAGATAGCTCCGATAGTCCTATCCAGCCCAAGGTGCTGACTGGGGAAGAGGTGTCCCTCATGGGCCTACAGGTGTAACTGTGTTTTACCAAGACAGCCCTGGCTGAATAACCCCATGTGTCAAGGAAAACATCCAACAACATAGCAATTCTGGTGCCTTCATAGTTATTCTTGTGCAATAAAACAACTTGTACAGTCATTTCACCCTAACGGCTGTGAATTCAGTATATGCCGACTCACACTTGATTGACTAGAGCCAGAGAAAATGTCCACAGCCCATTCAGTACAAGCACATGTAAAGAAACTTATTTGCAGCTCAGTGCCAGTTATTAGTTCTAATGAAGAAAAATCGGTGCAAAGGTTTCCATTGCCCTGACTTTCTATTAAGTGTCAGTGGATTAAATTTAGACGCATAGACTCCTCGTTTCCAAACCTGTCTGGCTGGCAGTCAGTATGCGGAAAAGCCCCTGGAATACAGAGACACAGTTCCTTTGTCGTAATGAACCTGCTGTATGGTTCCCTGCTTTAAGCTGCTTTGAGCCCTAAAAGGAGTCGTGTAGGGACTCTGCATATATAAATTAATATTTTTAAACCACCTCTTACAAGCTACCCTTTAGTATCTGATTTTTTTAATGGTCTTTCTAGATATTGCCTTTCTTGGCGGACAGGAAGTGTTGTCAGTATCATGCTGTTGCAGGAGCCAGTAACCTTTCTGGAAGGGTGTGCCAAGAGTTAATGCATTCTTTTCTGTTTGCAGTTCTGCATGCCTTTGGTGCATTTTATCATCAATAATAGTCTTCCTTGGTAACTAAAAGATTGTAATATGAACATGTATAAATTTGTCGATTAAGGTGCAGATCTAACTGTATAGTGTGTTCCTTGCCCTTGTGTTCCCTTGCTTTTTCCTCCCAACACACTGAGATCCATAAGTCTGAGAATTATAATTTGTTGAGCTGCATTTCAAAATCCTCAACATCCATCAACTGAAACGCTGTCAAATCTAGGTTGGTGGTATCAAAGGTATCAGGTTTGATCAGAAAAGAAAACATTGGGCCAGATTGTTGGAATTCCTGAAATCTAGCAAAGTTCTGAAGCAAGTATTTGAAGCATGAACTTTGCAACACTGATGGTTAATAATTTTTCAAGATTCTGGAAATTAAGGAGTCAATATTCCACCAATAACTGGGCACTGTTTCCAACATGCCCTCCATGTTTCAAAAAGATGCATAACAGTTTTGACAGCATCCTAACCCAAGGTGGGGGTTGAGTTCATTTAGATGTATGATGTCATATAGGATCATTATTTTCGGTGACCCCTCTTTACTAAAAATGATTAAGAAACATATTTGCTGTGTCTTCTCCTGTTGTTCTACCATGCATGGGTTTTAAACAGCATAACTCTCTTCACATTTTTTCGAAGTCACAGTATCTTGCAAGAACTGCTAACCTCAGTACATCATTTAGATTCATACACTCCTCAAACACATCAGTAAATACCACTGCACCATTTAACACCACAGTCTAGTGCCTGTTAAAGTTTTGTGCTATTAGGCGTCACTCCACTGATCTAGCAGATGCAATTAAGTTGTTTGAGTGAAGTCACTGCTTTGCTTTCTTTACCTCACTGTGGTCCATTTGATTGACTCAGTCTGTCTCATCCTTAAGTTGTTTCTCCATCTTTGTCTGCAAATGTCTTTGCTTGATGTATGACCAAAAATACCCTCAATACAGAGCATGAACAGCATGGTTTTCATGTTGGGGGGGGGAAGTGTTTTTGTCTCTCCAAGAGGGCTGAAACGAGTAATCATTTAACTTTGCTTTCTTAGCAACCGCCATTTCATCCATCATGACTTTCTGCTTGTGTAAAAATATATTCAGTGGTATTCATCCTATGCCTTCCTGTGAATCAAGGTGGCACCACAAAACGTTACGCAGTAAATAAACTAATTAAATTGTTTTTCTTTCTATGCCAAAGTGCTTACAAAGGGTAGCATGATTTAGAGATTGACAGAGCAGTCAAGCATAATTTATGGTTTTTCTTTCTGTTTCTTTGCTGCCTACACTTGCAGAGTGCACGTCACTCATGTGTCATACGTGCCGTAGACTGTTGCTTTTCTGTTGTGTTGACTAGCAAACTGTCTTTGTGAGAAGAAGTCTAAAATGTTTTCGTGGGAGAGGCAGTTTACCAGTCTGTTTTTTTAAGTGTTCATGCAATGAATGCAGAGGAAGGTCAAGAACTGCATTTTGTGCTTTTTGTGAAATGAAATTCCTAAAAAAAAGTCAGAAAATTATAACTTTAGTTCTTTCCAGTCCAGTCCTTTCTAGTTGTTTGAAGTGTAATTTTGAGATTTAAGGTGATAAGGATGGAATTAGAACAATCCACATATCCTAGTCCTTTGTATTTTCCATTTACTTGAATTCTGGAGTCAAATGTGCAGCCTGATGTGTGGAGAATAAGCCTTTGTGAGGTAGAATATTGTATTTTATCAACTCAAAATGTACAAATTCTTCCATTTTCCTTTGTAAATCCAGCCATTTTCTGGAAGTGTAGTGGCATGCTATATTAAGTGTGTTTAAATTTCACACTGTGAGGAAATTAATTCATTAGGTAAATAATTGCAAACTCATCTACTGCTCATTGTTGCCGCAAATATTATCCATTACCACAGACTGGCTCTCATTTTCATGTTCACATCTATAAAGTGTCATTTTACTACTGTGAAGGATATAATTCAAAGACAAACTGATAGAGATAAATGCTGACTTTAACCACCTTGGTTTATTGAAAACTGACATGGCTTTTGTTTCTCGCTTGTCATACAGTATGCCACCAATCCTAATAAAGTAAGTGTCTGGAGTAATGACTGTGGTCTCACAATGCTGTTAAAACCTGGACAAAGGAAATTGTCTTTCTGTATTTGAAAGCAGGTGTTTAAAGGTCTAAACATTTTTTGTGTTTTTTTCCCCAAAAACTGTGTAAGTCCTTCTAGACTTAAATATCGTTGTCCTTTCAATTTACTAAGGTTTGTGAAATTGTATTAGCAAATGTTAAATTTAGGAGCAAAAGGAATACCTGAAATTCTGTTAATGTCAACCAGTCATACCTGTTCCTCCAATTTTCTATAAAATATAACAGTTTTTTTGCAGTCTGTAGTGCTTTGTGCTGGCATGTAGTGCTTTGTGCTGGCATTGTAGTGGCAACTCATGGCATTGAGTTGTAGCTCATCATGGCTGTGGTGTGCCGTGACTAAAAGATATGTGGGACTAGACCTGCACCTTGGATACACTGAAGATAAGCTGAAGATTTTGATTTTTTTTTTTGTTATGGCTTGATTAGAGCAAACATTGTTCTTAAGAAATGTAAACTGCCTATTAAGATTTTAAAATGATTTTATGAAGCTGGCCTCTTTAATTCCCTTCCCAACTATTTTTTTTCAAGACGAAAAGCAGATTAGTTATAGTAGTGATGGTGGCCTTTCCTACTTCAAGCTGACAATATGTTGAAAAGGTGAAATCTGCATAAAATTGATAGTTGATCTGGTAATTGACTTCCTGTATTGTAAAACTCTGCAGTTTACATCACTAACATCTGTCATGTGTTACTTTCTGCAGAGCATGTGTGCTCCATTATTGCCTCTATGCTAAGAAACCTGAAGGGCCAGCAGCGAACTCGGCTCCTCAGCAAATTCACAGAGAACGACTGTGAGAAGGTAAGGACTCAGTGCCGGACTCTCCGCTAACCACCTATAACCTGGCCCTTCGCTTATTTTTTGTGACTGAATATTTGTCAAGGACCCCGCGTGAAACTTAAAACTAAATGTTTCAATTACATAGTGGTGATATCTTGGCCTGACTTCCGATCCTTAATGTAATCGAGAATTGTGGCTCACAACCAAGGTTGAGTGTTTTTCGAGAGCTCCTCATAAACACAGGAAAATGTTTCACCTCAGATTAGTATTATATAGTATCTCCCTCTTACACAGGGGATCTGCGTACATAGCACTTAGTGAAACTGCTAACCAGATGTTCTGTTTAAATAACAAATAATGAAGAGTTGCATTGCGTAGACTAACCTGTACTGCATATTGATTTAATTTTTAAGTTGAGGCTCCCTATGGAGGGTTTGATAAAAAGCACTACTCCACTGGTTTAGCAACCTCTTTTAGAAAATGAAAGGAGCTCTTCATATTTTCTGTCATAAATTATAATGTCCTCTGCATACCATATCATTTATAAATGTAAATGTTTTGTTTTTGCTAATTTTGCTGAAGTGTTTTCTCATTTAAAAGTGGCAGCAGCTTTAAAGCACAATACTGCAGGGTTACAATGCTGAGAATGTCAGCTCTCTTAATTCCAGTGCCGCCCAAGTCTGCAGATGAATTAGATGCTGTGTGCCACAGGTCACATTTACATTTATAGAAGAACAGGAGGACGTAACATTTATCAGGTTCACAACAATGTATAAAATTTAAGAAAATTGAATAAAAAACAAACCTATGGTCATGACACTTTCTCCTTAGCATACAGATATACTGTTCATTCTAGACTTTGGGGGAAAACATTAAAGTGGCTGTATTCTAAGATAAGATAAGATCACTTTATTAACCATATACAATTTCTTGTATTAGGAAGTTGTCTTTTCACATACCCCAGCTTGCTCTCCATGAAACACACAGACAGGGAGAGAAGCTTGGGGTCAGAGCGCAAAGTCAGCCATTGTACAGCGCCCCTGGAGCAGTTGGGGTTAAGGGCCTTGCTCAGGAGCCCAACAGAGTAGGATTCCTCTGCCAGCTGGGGGATTTGAACCAGCAACCTTCCAGCCACAGGCGCAGCTCCTTAGTCACAGTGCCACCACTCCGCCCCCATCCTAAATGGGGATATTGTGTGTGGCCCTGCCAGTTCACCCTTTTCAAACATAAGAATGTAAAACTTCAAGAAACTTCAAGAAAAATAAATCAGTGGTCTCCAGTAAAATGGATTGCAGCAGCAGTTCCATTGTTTAATGGTAATTACTGCAGCCTGTTTGATTACCATTCAAGGCCATTGTTTTTTTCTGTGCTTTTTTTAGGTCTGAAAAGAGGAATTCATACATATTTTTTCTTATGTTGAGAAAGCTGACATTCATTAAAACATTTTACAGTATCGTATCAATTAGTTGATTAAAACCTAAGTGCTTTCTATCCCATTTTGGATGGTCTAAATAACCTTCTAATTTCAGGTTAATCTGTATTATTGTTTCATTAACTGAGGAAGCTTTTGTCCATCCTGTAGTGACATTTTGACAGGTGTGGTTTAAAAAGGCAATTCAGGGAAGTGGAGTCCTGAAACATATCTTAATCCCAAGAAGAGTGGATTAGAAGCTGCTGTGTCTGCAGTCTCTGCAGGCTGCCTGTGAAGTCCAGACAGGTTATTGTGTAGAGTTCCCCTGAAGCTCCCTAGTGCAGACTGGGCGCATTGAAATCTCTGCACAGCAGACAGAAGTGTGAAGTGCTGCAGGTATTGATTGTCCAGCGATCAGTTAGGAATAACAGCTTTCTCATTGATCCCTTGAGTAAGTCTTGTTTGCAACACTGAGAGGAATTCCTCTGTGGTTGACGTATGGCCAGAAAGACTCACTGCTGTTCTGCACTGGTTTAAAGGGGCTTCTTACATCATCATTTTTAGAATGAAGTGTGCAACTCTATTTGACTATATGGACATAAGATTATCAGAAAAGTTACAAACGGGAATAGGCCTTTTGCCCCATATAGCCTGCTTAGTAGTTAGCAGCTAATTGATCCAGGGATCACATCCAGCGGTTTCTTCAATGAAACCAGGGTTTTGGCTTCAACTACTTGACTCGGTAGTTTACCCAGATTCCCAGAGCCCTTGCATTTGCCAAGAACAGTGTAGAATCCTAAAACACATTCCTTACAACTTTCTCTGCTCAGGATAATTCCTTATAGTAATATTGTGCTTTTCTGGACACTCCTATCAAAGCATCCTCCACCACCACCAGTGTGCAGCCTCACCTGGATGATGCAGCGGCACCCATAGTGCACCAGAAAGTTTGAATGAGCAAGCACACTTACACATCATAGTTTTAGATTATTAGATTATTATTGTTTCGATTATTGACTACACTATTGAAAACAATCTAAATTCAAAACAATCAGTGAACTAAAAACATAAAGGGTAAAATGCATAATGTGGATTGAAATAGAAAGAAATCTTTTAATTTAGCCTGATGTAATAACCAGACTAAGATATAGAAACTATTCAAAAACTCTGTGGATGTACAGTGTGCATTAGCTGAAGCAAATGCACTGCAATCTAAGACAGAGAAGTAAAGGGAACTCCTTTGATTGGAGAAGGTGTAGCTCAAGAGGCTAGATAAGCACCTCACAAAAGATGACCAGAGTGGATGAGAAGTGGGCTTCAGGGAGACATGAGGAATTGGAGATTATCACTACTGAGAAGGATTGATTAGTATTGATGATACTTTACAGCTTTGCTGTTGACTTTATAAATTAATACACACAGGGAATGTGAATAATTAAAAAGATATTTTTTTGTGTTTAACTTAAACAATCCTTCATTTGTCGTGTATGCAGTAATAAGAGGAGCCGTGGATAGCGCTGGACCCTGCGGCGGCTGCTGCTTTACTTAACCTGGTGAAAGTTGCAGCAGCCTCTGCCCTGTGAGAAAGGTGCTTGTGTTGTGAGCCTGTCCTGTCGTCCCCAGCTTCTGCTCTGTGAAGAGCCGTGGGCTGTGGACGGCTGTCTTTGCCCCTGCTGTTTCAACAGCAGTGGGTCCTTGTAAGCCTCCCGTCAGTGGTGTGTCTCTGATGTCTGTGCCCGACTCTCTCTCACTCACAGGTCGACAGGCTCATGGAGCTGCATTTCAAGTACCTGGAAGCGGTGCAGTTGGCAGACAAGAAGATCGAAGGAGAGAAGCACGTAAGATCTGGGCTCCCTTACAGGAGGCTGGAGCTCAGCCTTCAGCACCCAGCCCCTCGTCACTAAGCGGGTTGATTTCAGACAGCTATAGGTTTTAAAAGTCCCAGTCTTTATGTCTAGGATCAACAGGACACCTATTTTGCTCTTTTCACAAACTAGGTTCTCATGGGCCTCCCTAGTGGCTCAATTGGTAAAGGAGGGCATGTGGTTCTCTCAGAGAGAAATAAGCTTCTCCTCTAGTTGGTGCAACACGCCTGTGATGTGATTTGAGGGTGGGCAGGTTAGACTTGTATGCCTACCCTTCCTCTCTTTGCGTGCAGTTGTAGGGAAGCTGAGAAGTTAAAAAAAAGAGTTAGTGACTCTAAATCAGTCAAATAAAAGTTGATATGCACCGCTCTCCCACAGAATTTGGTTATATTCAACAAAAACATTTCCTACCCGTTTTGAGTTTGCTAGGTATTAAGATGAAAACTGAGAATAACTGCCAACAATAACACTTCAAGTGTTCAGTTCGGACTGCAACCCATGTCTTCATTTTATCATTTTACTCATTATAAAGAGAATCTTATTTGTTAATGTGACAGTGTTTTCCACTGTTCCGATGAAGAATATTATAATATATGATAATAATATGCATAATTCTTTTGCCAAATTCTGCTGTCGAGACACTAGTTAAACAATGTTTATATTTAATACTTAATGAAAAATATGACCTAAGACGATTGATTTAGAAAAATGCTAAGATTAAGAGTTGATCTAATCCTAATTGACGTGTCCATTGTCTTTCTTACATCATAAAACAATGTATAGATCATATTGCAAACTGCAAACTTTAAGTTACTGTATGCAAACTTTAAGTTACCTATAAGACATGGTGCATGGATGGTTTAGAAGCTGCTATTGTCCCAGCCCTACTGATATCCATAAAAGCCTTGTAGAAACATCGAAGAATCATTAGTCCAGGTTTGTCCTCTGACTGCGGCCTATATCAAGGTGACCTGAAAAATGAAATGCATGACCCTTTAATGATGCTGGCAAGCACAGCATGCATGCACAGTCTCTGCGAGCCAAGGTGTTTAATCAAAAGGCTGCCTTACTTTGGTCAGCATCGGCGGACGAGCTTCCCTACTCACCCCTGCCTTGTCAGCCCAGAATGCTGTTTTATACTGAAATTCACAGTTGGGAAATATGGTAATTATGTATGAAAGTTTTGAGTATTACGTTTTGAGTTAAACCATGAAGATCTGTTATGCACAGTGTTTCAAACCAAGAAACATGTAGCTAAACTAGTATTTGACAAGTTTTTTTTATTTGAAATTAGCTTATTTTGAAATGATGTTTATATATACTGTAGTTCTTCTTTATTGCGTATTTGCAGTATTTTATGTGGATATTCCTGGGCAAACTAAAAGGCTTGTACGATTTTATACAGGAACTGTTTATATATAATTGTAAGTAGAACTGTTTTTCGCTGAGTAAATGAGGTTTTCCACTATATGTAGAAAAGGTAAAAGATGACATACTTTTATACCTATAGCCCTTATAATGTTTTATATTTATACCTCAGTTTGCTGAGTAAAATGTGGTGATAAATGATGAACTGTGAAACCACAAGTAGGCATCTAAAATGAAGCACGACAAAAGCACAGTGTGTGTTTCACTCTTCCCTGTTTGATTTATTTGCTTAGCTGGTATTAATCATTGTGGCACAATCTCTGAATTAATGGTCTCTTCAAATTCTGTGCCTGTCTGCATCCACACTGTCGTTTAGATTAAATTAGAGAGGTTGCAAGCACACCATAGAAAAAGGACTACAAACGTAGAAAAAAGGGATTGTATTTTGGGCAGGCAAGTTCAAGGCCAAGTCAAACCAGGTTGTGGGAAGCTGGGTTGCTCCGTGCTGATGGGAGTAATTAGAAGCGAACCTCAGGCGGTGATTTTGCTGGAAGCTGTTTTCTTTCCGAGAGGCTCTACAGCCACAGAGGTGTTTTAAGACTTTTTATGTAGCTGTCTGTTGACCTTCAGAATTGTTATTAGACAGTAGCCAAGTTGTTGCAGAAGACTCTTCAAAAAGATTTGAAACCCCTGCCCGCTGCCAAAAAAGAATAATCATGTAATTAAATTGCTTCCAGGCAAACGAGGATTTAAAGAGCTTATTGTGGCCTGTAGTAGCCGAGAATGTCTTAAGCCCTGAATATAGGTGTGCAGATAGTGCACAGTCAGACAGATGGAAGGATAGAGATAAGGGTCTACACAGCAGAAAAAGAAGGAGAAGGTAATAGAGTTGGTTGAGGCATGTAGCTTAAAAGATCATTAAATGATATGAGATTCATTTTTGAAGGAATCTCACCAGGTCATGTTTTCTGAGGTAGCGTTGCTGGGTCAGAAGTCTTATTTGAAGCTAAAACTACATTAGGAAGATGCTGTAACGCTGAACTTTGCACAGAGACCTGTGACAGAGACTGGTGCAAGTGTATGTATCTTGCTACCTTGCTCTGTGTTCTGCCATATACAAATACAAATATACAATACAAAAATACAATTGTATTTTTCTTGGCCAAGGGAAAAGAGAAGGTTGCATTAATTAAGTATTCCTATTTTATCCGAAGAGAAAAACTAAAAACTTTCCTGAATGTTAATTCAAACAGGTGTTTAATGGGGGCAAAACTGCATCACTTACTGCTGTTTATTTTGAGAAACTGCAGGTCATCGAAAGCATAACAGAACACAAGCTGCCAGAGTGTAGCATTATCATTTTTTTTTAAAGTCATTAGGAGCTGGTTAAGAGGGCTGTGAGCAAGAACAACTTTTCACTCTACAGTTAGACATTTTCTGAAGATAGTATAATAACAGGAATGATAATATTTGATATTAATATAAAAAAGCTGTAATGAGTCTATTGCTGTTTTAGTATTAAAAAAAGCTTTTTAAAGGTAGTTTATCAGTTTAGCATGTAACTCCAGTGTCAGGCTGCAGTCTTAACATTAGAGGTGATAATGTTTTGTCATACTGTTATTTTTTATATTAGTTGTATCTGAACTCCTATTTCTTAACCCATTGTGTGTGGAGACATTAAATGCACATGTATGACAAGTCTATACATGGAAGCAGCTCTGAGCATTTGAGTGTGTGTTCATGAGTTCACAACATTACTGATGTGGTAGCTCGAAAGAAAGGCTGCTTATAACTAGAAGTCTATATCATAAATTGATTACTTGTCTCAGTTTTGGACAGTCAAGCTTTGACCATTGAAATCATCATCTTTTTTGTCATTTACATAGACCTCTACATTTTCATGTTTTCTCAAAACCATTTCCTTAAAACTAAGGTTATTTCAGTGCTCATGAGGATTTGTAAATAGCTAGCTTTCAGTGTGAGGTGAGATGGAGAGCTGTATTTCTTAAAATGAAAAGCCAGTTATGCTGGCAGCCTATTTTGAAAACTCATATTTAAGACACATGGCTCATCTCTTAACATGAATAATTAAAGAGCATTCCTTTTACAGAGTCACATATCTCTCGAAGACATTTCTGTATTCCAGATGAAGAAAAGAATATGAGTAATAAGATTTACTAGTGTAAAATTAATGCTGAGTACACAGGTACACATCAAACTTTCTAAGTAATTTTTTTAATGTTGTGATGTTTTATTATTCAGCTTTATATTTACATTTTATTTTGTAAGTAGTTGGTTAGCTTAAGAATATTGAAGGGTGCTTCTATCAAAGCAGAAAATAATAAAAGCGGCTTTCAGATATAATGTTAAAGAGATCATTTCCAAGAAGGTTTTGATCTCATTAAAATCAAAACTTTCAACAAAGGAAGTGCTGGGCAAGTGAAATAAGTCATGTAGATCAAAAGGTGACCTTGGATGACCTCTAGAAGAGTAGTGGGGTTGTCAAGTTGGATGTATGATGATAATAAGAAATTGATCTTCTGATCTAGGCAGTCTTTTTAGCCTAGGAATCTCCATTGTGAATCTGGACTTTATTGCCGGGCACTGCTGCCATTAAACACCCAGTGGTTTAAGAGTACCAGTCACCTGTGTCAGCCGGACAGACACAAAATTGGTCCCAGAAATTCCCTCACACATCACCTGCACTGTCCACTGTTCCTTTCTCCACACAGAAGCAACAATCCTGGCTTGACTGAGAAGATTCAGGAACGCCTATACTGCACTCCTGTCCCAGCTATAGTTATTCTTATCCATATATAGTTATTCTTAATCCATCTAATTTACCAGTTAAATCTAAGGAACTCATTCTATGTTCTACGTGCTACATTCTGTATTCTTTTAATCAGGTTAGCTGGTACCTTAAAGAAAAAGGCAACAGTTCCAGTAGCAGATCACTATAGAATTATTTATGCAAGCAAGAAAAACCCTTAGTGGAAGCAGTACAACAAACCAAAATGTTAAGACTTGCACAGCAGCATGTGTCTGCACATTATGCAGTCTTGTTCCTGTTTGTAGGTGTTACAGTATGTATTGTAAAGAGTGGTTGAACCTAGGGCCATCACAAACCTTGTGCTTACACAGTGGTGTGAGCTGTAGCCACATGGAAGCTATCACTGAGTGAGTCTCACAACACAGACAATATCTGCAAAAGGACAGTGCTGAGGTTGTGTGAAATTGATTAGCACCAATGGCGAGTAATTACTGCCGCAGCACTGTCAAGTTAATAAGGATTTCTGCAGGGCCGCGGGCTCTGAGTAAGTACCACCAGCAGTTTGAACATCTGTACTCCTAATAGTGTTGTCATAGCTCTGGCATTTTTATGGGTATTGGCACATTTTGAATGCAAACATTGAGAGTGGTATCTATAACTCAGGGGTTTTATGGCACAGCAGTAAAAAAAAGGGTGTAAATTGCTTTTTAAAATGTGAAAACTTGGTGTCGATATTCAAACAGAAATTAGAGCAGACTGAAGAAAGCATTTTTGTGCAAATCTCTTTTTGGTGCATTATCATTTAAATGAATATTCCACAAACCTATGATTTCTTCAGAACTGCCTTTAAGGCAATGTTAAACATGCATCATGTTTATCCCTTAATTTCACGTTCATCCCTTAAAAAACTTAACCTGAAATCAAAATCACTAAATCACAATACTACATTTTTCGTAGCTTTGTCATTCTCTCATGCCCTTTGTTATGGGTAGTGGTGCTAATTGTGGGTTTAATTAGCTGTGTGGTTGAGATTGGACTGAGCTGACACCATGGCTTTTGGTGCAGCTTGATGACTAACTCTGTGATGTGACTGGGAACTTGATCATCACAATTCCTGTGTAGTTGAGCATTTCTCTTTGTGTACAGGGGGATTGAAGCCAGCTACTTTTGTTTACCAACCACGGAAGACTGACATGGTGTAACTTAATATTTGCCTTATTGATTGCACTGCAATTTAATAAAAAAAAAACACTATGTATTAGTTTAGGGGGGCGTTGGAAGATTGTTTTCTTGAATTGTTGGGAGCGCTAGGTGGGTCCTAAGTCACTCAACTGCAAAAGGACCTTGCTCAAGTGCAGGCTGAGCTCTATGATCCAGATGTCGAGGGTTCGAGCTTCTGTCAGGATTCTCCAAGCAGTGGTGCACAGCTGGCTAAGTGCTGCTTAGGGGACATCTGGGATCTGTGAGCCAGGGCTCCTTTGGCTCCCAGTAAAACTGTGAATCCAGGTACTTGTGATGCTGCTAGTGAGGGGCGTGCCCCCCTTCCAGTCAGCGCTGACCCTCCTGTGTGTAGCTGAGTAGCCTGTAACTCATCACATATCCAGGTGATTCAAAGACTGGAGGGAGGGGTCTGCCTGCACTTTCTCGTTGTGCTTGTGTGTGGAAGCGGGAATCGTCGCTGTGAGTCAGGACAAGAAAATGGGATTGGAATTGCTCATTCCAAATTGGGTGTATCGGGTGGGTATATAAAAAAGTAATTGCCAGTGCTTGTAGAAAATGTTTAAAATTTTTATTTGTATTTGCATTGTTTCACTTTTTTTTCCACAGTCTTGCAAAATGTCTGTAGTTCATAGTGGTTATTAAAGTAGAAAAGGGGTGTAATGCTGTTTTTTTTTTTTAAATTCAGATCAGTCAGATCAGTCAGCCTGTTTTAAATTCCTTGAATTAACCTCATGTTTTCTACTCACAGTTCAGTGTTCATAAATCAGCTAATAGTTCCAATCATAACCACACAAATGAAAGTCTCTGCCTATCTCAGCAGTTTCATAGCACCTGAAGAAACGTCTTCTGCTGTGGTTTAATACATTTTTTCCTTTTTTATCTCCTGGAAATGCAGAAGCCTCACAAATAAACAGATGTGACAGGCCTTGTAAACACACAGTGCTAAGCACAGGAGAAGGTTCTGCTAAAGTCAGTCAGAGGAATGTAGCTAGCTTTCATCGCTCTAGAGGAAAACACCCCGCAGCCTCATATTCTTATGCTTCTAGCCATTTAATACACATTGCTGAGCTTCTATGAAGTTGTAAAGAGCCTTAAAATTGGTCCCTGGCATCATTCTCCAATATTGAATATTGCTACCTTACGTGTCTTAATTGGGCTGATATGCATTAAATGCTTCTGTTCTGTCATGAATTTCCTTCGAAAATGTTTGTTTGCATGCATTTGGAGTTTAATGAGGATAGCACATCTGATAGCTCTGCAGTTCCTTGGTCTCCGTGGCATAATCCAATCAAGAGTGCATAACCAGTTTTGTCCTTACTGAGGTGGTTAGATACAGTTACTAATTAAAGGGACTTTTTTTTTCAGAATTTTTTAAAGAGCTAGTTGTTTCCCCAGTCTGCAGAAAATACCATGTTGCATAATTCTCTGTGGAAATGATTTTGCTTTACTGTGATGAGGCTGTAAGCAAGCCTACATCTTGTTTTTATTATGTAAATCTCCAACTCAGGGATTCATTATACTCTTATTTAGTTTTTTGTCCTTGTGGTCGTGTTTCCTCCAGAGAAACTCACAAAGAACTCTTCAAACAAAAATTTTGTTGTTACGGGGTTAGAAAACTTTTTGAGCTTTCAACGACTGCCAGGCTACAAAAAAGTACATAAAGTGCAAGAAGTTTGAAAGTGTAGTCATTTTTATATAAATTAATAATTGATGATTCTTTATCAACTCAGCCAATTGGAAGCATCAGTTGTCTTTGCCTCGGCTCACAGCAACAGTCCTGGAGTGCAAACGGCAACAATGTGGAAGTATAGACAGGCTCCTTTGACCCACCTGTTCCACTGAATCGTCCATCTTTAGACACATTGCAGGCTATGTGCAGAAGAGCTTAATCCTCCACAGAACTGGAGAGTCATAGATATCATTGTTGTGCCAGGAGTAAAGGCTGCCCTGCCTGGCTAATCCTAGCAATACCCCTGTTAGCACTCAGCCAGATGTGTCACTTTGGGAATCCTGGTCAGGTTGATCTGGCAACATGACTGGTGGCAGCTGAGTCATAGAGCTCAACCTTCGCTCAGCAGTTGCCTTTACTGCTGGAGCCAAAGGATCTTGGTCACTTCAGCCTTGTGTGTAGCTCTGAATGACTCTTGTGTAGCATTTTTTTAAACTTTAACCAGATTGTACACATTGACTACTATTAATGGATGCTTTGTAAACAAATTCTGCTTCTGAAAAATCTTTTGAAGTGAAATGAAAAGGAAAAGAAGAGTATAATTTATCTGATTCCAGGTTCTATGTAGAAGTGTGATTTTGGCTGTACCAATCAAAACCGATTCTTAAACCTAAATCTAATGACAGATACAATTGAGGAAAACAAAATATTAATACCAAACACAATATTGTACATATTGTTAGTTTATTTTTACAATGCTAAGATTAAGGCTGTTTTTTTATAATTGCCTTTTTCTTATGGTCTTCAGGCTCTGTATTTTATAGCTCAGTTTGGACGTGTCAGTGATGCATTTTCTAGAAATCCATTCGTCTGATGGACTTGCCAGTTTCTGCCAGAAAGCTGTAACCCAAAGGGGAAAAACCTGTTTCTACAGGATCAATTATTTCTTGCAAAAATGTCAACTGTCACGTACTTTCTGGGACAGCTTGACGTTAAAAGGAGCTGTCCCACTCCGTGAAATCAGGCAATAAGGAAAATATAACTGGATAGTGACAAGGTGTCATAAAACCAGGTTCTGCAGCTGGGAATCAGCCTGCAGCTGAGAGCTGGACTCCCATAGGTCTGGAAGTTTACCTGTGAAAATGAGGATTCCTCTGATTGAAAAGACATTCACATTAATGGGAATGTGGACAGATGCGCAAATATATCTAAAATCTAAGACATTAGACACTTAAGCCAAATTTTCCCATCTTTTGGAAATTTGGCAGATAAGAAATAAACATAAATTAACTTACACTTAGTTAATAAGCCTTTTTCAAAGGAAAATGCATGCTGCTGTCAATATCAGCCTTCAGCTCTTCTCCAGTATTAAATTTAATGCATGTTTTGTAACCATTTCTTTGCAGAAGCTATTAAAAAATTATTTGCATAGATTGATCCAAAAGCTGGCAGTATCACTGGAAACACTGTGACATCTGACATTTATGATGAACAAAAGGGCTGATGCACAGCATCAAGCTTACTGAACTCATCGTGAGGAAAAGTTGCAGCTGATGTGGAGGAGCCATAAAGGATTGTTTATAAGCCATGCCATTAAAACAGCCTCATATACACTTACCTGTATTAAGCCTCAAACTTGAACACAATGCATCTAAAACAAAACATTGAAAACCATCTATATAAACGGGTATATGTACAATATATGTATGGATTAGCAATGATCATGGATTTAGACAGTCAAGGACATACTATATTCAAGCTTGAGGGATGCATGTACAGAATATACAGATGTTGATCTCTCTGCATGACTAAATCGTGTAAAAATATTGATTCATAGATGGATCAATAGAAAAATTGTCCTCCCGACGGATGGCTGGGTAACTAGATTGGTTGACAAGATGCAGAACAAGAATTAACCGCTTGGGTTTCTGTCCTTTTCCTAGGACATGGTGCGACGCGGGGAGATTATCGACGACACCATGGAAGATGAATTCTATTTGCGTCGCTTGGATGCTGGGCTCTTTGTCCTTCAGTTGCTCTGCTACATCATGGTGGAGATTAGCAGTGCTGGCATCCCCCAGGTAATTAGAGAAAGCAGCCAGGCGCTCCCAGGGGGTCTGGAGAGCCTGTTCTAACTGTGCACGTTTCTCACTCACTCTGTCACTCCCCTGCACACAGCAATAGTGATTAATAAGCTATGGACCAGCTACTTAGTTTTCATTAAGCTTGGTCACAGACAGGTGACACCAGGTGCATTGAGCTTTTCATCCCGGAATTCTATGCAGAAGAATGTCCTAGCAAGAACAGTTTGACACTGATTGAAAAATGATAGGCAGAAAATGCAAGAACAATATGTTGTTTTAGTATGGTTATAAAACATGGTTGCTGTAAGGTCACACAGTATAGAATTTGACACATTGCATTTTTGCCGGGATAAGATTCCCTTGGCTTTTGAATGGATTCTCTTCTGCATATTGTTTTATTGTGTCACAGTGGTAAATGGCCTAAGGCAGGTAGGTGGGTTTATCACGGTGAGTATACGTTTCTCAGACTGACCCATTGCTCCTGGAGAAGACGTTTGGAGTCCCCAGTGAACTAACTTGAACAAACTTCATGATGGATTAACTGACTGCTTGTATTTTTTTGCATAATTGTTCAAGGGGTGGCACGGTGGTATGGTGTTTAGTACTTGTGCTTCACAGCTTCAGGGTTGTGGGTTCAATTTGAGCTTCTCTCTGTGTGGGAATTGTGTGGGTTTTTCTCAGATGCTCTGATTTTCTTCACCTCACCAGCCCACAGACTGAAGCGTACCGTGTTTGATTGGATATTCTGAATTGTCCCTCTATGTTCTTAATGTCATGTGAAACCACTTACAGCACAGGCCCACAGCCAAAGTTATATCTAGTACTTCTGAAATGTCTAAAGCTGGTGTTTTTGTCTTTCAGCTGCAACAAAGGGTCCATCAGATTCTGAACCTGCGGGGAGGCTCTGTCAAGGTGGTCCGCCACATCATGAGAGGTGAGTCCTCATGCTCCCCTCAGGCTGCCTGGAGGAGCGCAGACCTCATAGGAGCAGCTTGAATGGAAAGTGGTGTTTGCTGTCAAGCTGCCAGGATATCAGAGAGCACCCCACAGTGTGGTGCAACAGTTTTTAAGTTGCAGTGCCGCTGATGGTGTTTGGTTATGACATCGCCAGGTGTAGTGGCAAACCCATGTGACATTACTCCAGCCCTGGCAGAGGATTCGTGATGGCTGACATCTAGTCAGGGGGCAAGTCCAGATGTGTCTTCCTCTTGGACCTTTGAATTGAGAGGCTCAGATTTGTGAATGTTAGGATGGATCTAATTATGGTGGCCCTGTTTGGGTGTTGCAATACCAGAACATCTACGTTTAGAGATGTTGATCAGGTCCTGGATTTGTTTCCAAAGCGTGAGAGTAATTTTAGACCGGACCACAGCCCTGCTGCTACATGAGTTCGTTTTCAGTTTTTGAAATGTGGGAAGAAATGAAGTTGAGGCTCTGTGACTGGCGGCTTTATCAGTCCTTTGTAAAACTGTCTCTGTTGCACAGGAGGATTCATTTGTTATGTATGATCCAAAGTAGGGGACCATAGGTGTGACTCTTCTGTTCTTTTTCAAATCATAAAGCTGTAAAGTATCTTGAAATGTTATAAGTCTATAACAATTCAGCATTTGTGATCTCTTTTTTTTTAGGTTGTTGATTTTTTTTCTTTTGGAAGGCAGGACTATGCCCACACGCCCACTCAGCCTGTGTGATAATGTTTTACAGCCTGGCATCTCACCCAGCCACTTGTTTTTCAAAAGGCACATTAATATAACTAGCAGATCTGTGCCAGTTCATTCTGCGAGTTGGCACTGTTGAACATGAAACAGTGTAATAAAAACCCATCTGCTGAAAGACTGAAGCATAGCCAACTTAGCTGTTGCATATTTGTTGGCTGACAATAACACACTATCCTTTTTTAATTTTCTACTTAATTATTTTTCATAAAGGGAAACAGTATTCTTTGGTGGTCAGAAACTATCTTGCAGCACCTCAATGCTGACCGCACGTGCACTGAAAAATTTGACCGTGGAAAGAGCCACCAAATTTTACTTTGCTTCACAGAAACATGGTGTTATTGCTATTATTCAAGAGCAAATACTTGGGACTCCACAGACACTCTCATTCATTCTTCTGCCTTGACCAGATCTGTATCAGATCACAAAACAGCAGGCAGAATTTTTCTTGTGGCCTTACAGAGGCAGTTTGATGTGAAGCCTGTCAAGGGTGCTACACTGCAGCCACAGTGAGCAGTGATCCAAATCAAATATTCAGACAATTAAAAGGCACATACTTTTAATTTCAACTACTTTGAAATGAACAAATACGACAACCTATTTTATTGTGCTTACTTTGTTTATTGTATTATAGTCGGTTTCAAAACAGCTGCATGAAGCTTCACTGCCAGCCTACAGACCTGCCCTTGGTAGCACTGTGGAATGAGTCCTGCCCAGTCGACCATCAGACATACGCGCTATAATTTTTACTTCTCTGTGGAAACACCAATAGGTCTTGCTAAACTATGTCTTGCCAGAGTGTTGTGTTGCAGGGGACAAATCAAAGACTGAGTAGAATTATTTTCATTTCCAAAATCAACTTTAAATCTGCAATGGGCACTATGTATAAGTTCAAAGTCTACCAGTTCTATAAGCCAATTCTGTTATAAGTAGTCTCTTGGAATGTAAAAATCCTTGTGGCATGGTCTGTTTATTTGTGCTGAGCATAAGAATAATCTGTGACTCTACATGTTCTATAGTTTGCTTAAGGATTTCAGATATTGATTACATTTTTGCTTTCCATTTTGATTAATTGATTTTGTTTAATTGATCATTCATGACTAACTGCAATGCAGCTGTGTCAGACTGTTGCACAAGGTCGAAATCACCTCATTAGTGAGAGCTGATTTGATGGAGGCGATAAGGTGATTTAATCTATTTAATGTCAAGCCTGGTGTAAATCAAGAAAATAAAAAGTGAATTGTTTCGTCTGTATGTTGGAGGCTAGACTTAGTCACCTCAGGTGGACCTGCTAGCAGAGAATGCAGTTCCTTGTAAGCAATGAATTGAGGGTTTGTATAGACCACTCTGAATACCATCATGGCTGGTGTGACATTAGCATGTAGAACAATATGTTAGTGGTTGTGTGAAGCAGACCAGTTAGTGAGGGGGGGTCCAATTGTGATGACCTGTGCAGGACCACTACAGAAGTACATTTGCAGTGATCAATGCCAACCTGACTGCACAATACTACAATGATCCTAGGAATTCATGTGCTGCTCACTCTGTGACCACATTGCTACAGAACAACACACAGCCTCATGCTGCTGAAATTAACAAAGGCTTTCTTGCAAAATGGGGATTTTGGACCTTACTTGCTGCCCTTCCTGTGTGCCCATCCAGATGCATTATCAGCAGGGGTGGCCTTACTAATGGGGCAGCCTGGGTAATGCCCTGGGCCCCACACTGAGCGGCTGAAACAGTGATCCTACAGTATATGACCTATTGAAATATTCCTCAATTACATCACCCAGTGTAAAGAATGATAAAGTGATAATTGATACGTGATTTCATCCTTTTCAATGGTCAATTTTATACAAATATAAATTGATGCAAATACTAATTTCTCCCCAGAAGAAAATTCCAATGATTGTTTCCTGTTGTATGCTCGTAGGTGGTATTATTGTAATGACTCCCATTTGAACAGGGAATATTTTTGGGTTACAATTATTCTCTTTCCAACAATGACGCACACACATCCTCAATCTACCTGATGTTTTGTTATAGCCTTCCTTAGCAAAGATAGCCAGAAGCAATGAAATAAAATGGGTCCAAAAAATTTGAAAAAATAAAAATATGAGATGAAATTGACGTTTATTTATTTGGCTCACATGAAGTTGGGCATTTTATTGGAGCATTTCAAGTGAAGTATCTTGCTCAAGGGTACATCAGCAGTGTTTTCGTCTGGAATTTGAACCTGGAACCTTCCCATTGTTGAGACTGATAAGTAGGAATAAAGAGGATGTGGGGACTTTATCCTTGACTTTTATCCTAGGGTCCCAGAATCACTATTTCCAGCCTGATGTAGGAGCATTTCTACAGGACCATCCATGTCCTCAGGCAGCTGTTTGTAAAACTGCAGCCTGGTTCAACATGTGTGTGCATATTGCCTCCAATGATGGCCAGACACGATGCTAACTGTGACTATCACAGCAGACTCCTGATTGATCAACCCTGTTGTTAAATGTCTGATGATATTTGTTATCAGTCAGCCTGTTGATAATGTTGGTAATCAGAATAATTAATTTACCTGTCATGTCTATTCAATAAAATGTCAGTCCACTTGTGATGAAGAAGATTCTCATTTTGGTAATTATAGCTTTGAGAATGTTGAATATTCAAGTGTTTTTATGACGCTCAGTATATGTGCATTGCAGTACTGTCTGATTGCCTGTGAAGACCGGTTTTTTGTCACAGTAGAATTTACTGCTATCTGAAGAGGTTTTGTGCAGGTTAGAGCAGATCAGTTCTGGAGAGACCAACAGGAGAAGGGCCACACAGTGTACTGCTGGTATAATGGCTGAGCTAGTTTAAATGGGATACAATTCCAATCCCCACAATCAAACCACATGTGTCCTCCCCCCAGCTCAACCATGGTAGCTGTTTGCTTTCAGTACTCTGACTGCAGACATACAATATGGAATTCTCTGTGTGTTACACTGGAGGAAACATTTGTTCAATCTTTATTTCAAATTCACCTTACAGCCCATGCTTCAGCAATCAAATCAAAAACAGCTGGTTCAAGACAGAGAAATAAACAATAATGTATTATGTTTTCTCTGTACTATTGATACTATGCTTTGAATTAGGTGCCTGGCTTGTGCAACTATATACTTAAGGAGTTTAGTTTCTTATTGCTGTCCTCCAGTTATCAGCAATAAAGCTTTTCCCCCCAGTTCTACCACAGTCCTATTTTTTTTTACTGTGACACAGATAGTTGATAGATATTTTTATAGGTACTACAAACATTTCCTTGACCTGATAATGTCAGGGACTGACTGACACACAGTATGGTAGTTCTCTAAATTGTGGCATTAGCTGACCATACCAGATGAAATAACCTCAACCAAAGAAGAATATAGTATAGATGGAACTCAAATTGTAAATTATAAATATTTTTGTGGGTTATATAATTGTATATAAAATATTTTGCCCTTTAAAATCTCGCCCTTTAAATTTTGTAAACAAACGATACGTAAATTACAAAGGATTCATAACAAGGAGCTGTCTTCTGTAAACCTTTGTATGTGTATTTGCATAGAACAATTCACATTGTAATTTCATAATTGCTATCATTATCATTTTCTCTTCAATGTAGCTATGCTTCCTTAATGTTCTGCAGGACCACAGAACAGGCATGATGCAAATTAAAACTCGGAAGGAATGCAGTAGTTTGGCAGCTCTTGGCCTCGAAGCCTCAAGAAAAAAAAAGGATTTGCTTGCCTCTTGCACTTAGTTTAGCACATCTAACGCTTGAAATATAATTACTGCAATATTGATCATTTATTTATTTAACTGGGGTGTTCAGTGCTTTCTGAATTGCAATTAAAGAATTCCCTCCAGTCCCCCCAAAAAGTTTTAATTGGGCTTCAATTAGTATTGCACTGTGAGATAGAAACACATACAGTGGGGCGGGGGGGAGAGGTTATTTAGGGGTGTATTTAAAAAGAAAAAGACCTGGAAGTGTGCTTGCCAAGAAAGCCTCTTGTGTTCTGAGATCTTTTCATTCTGAAACAGATAGCAGGCAGTGTGGAGAGCAAGTGGCTTGGGAGGCTGCTAATTGTTTCAGTGCCACGTCTCCCAACAGATGGTACATTGAGAAGTGAACAGCCAGGCGGGGCAGGGTAGACGAAACATACTAACAAAGTAGATGGCAAATTAAAAACCTCTTTTCTTTGACCACCATTAGCAGTGCACTGCTAAAGCCAATACCAGAATGCTAAATAACAAACAGCAGATCCATAAGGAGATTGTACTGTCCCAGCAGCATTAATGGGCTCACACAGTTGTCTTTTTTAAGCACTGCTTGCTTTCTTATCACCCCCTGCCCACTACAGCACCATCCAGAAATCTTGCTGGGAGGGGAATAAATTGCTCAAGATGTGAGTGCTGAGTCGATGCTGGCCACATAAAGTCCTGATTTTCATGCTAATGTAGCTCAGTATTTTTTGTTACCATGTCATCCACCCCATGCTAGGACATTGAGCCAATAAAATCCGCAGAGAAAGTCATTGTCCTGAATCTCTTGACGTCATTTCTTGCCAGGGACACTTTTAATAACAAACGGAGAAACGCCAGTTTAGACAAATTAAATATAAAAAATATGAAAGGCCTCAATTTAAAACAAAAATAAAATGCCTAATTATTCCAATTAGAGGAACTGTAGTGAAATGCCAGTGTCTTGCACTCTTATGTCAGTGCTAGTGCAAATTAAAATGTACCCATCTTTATATCAACACATGTTTCACCTAGGGGCGACTCAGAAATAGGTGGAACATATTTCAGCATAGCTGAAAACCTTCTTAGTTTCAGACCTCTCAGTTAATATAGGAGTGAAGACCTGACAGTGATGGTGATATAATTTCCCTTAAACCTGTGCTGTGGTTTCCAGACCAAAAGGGATGATAATCCTAATTTATTACTATATTCTCAAAAACAGATTAAACAGAAATACATATCCAGAATTGACATCAGACATACTGCATTTTAGTAATTATTTACTTAGAAGCTGTCAGGCAGGTGACAGAGTGAGCATCTCTCCTTCTAGGAAAGAAGATTGTGTTTAGCCATGCTGCTCTGAGAATTAAACACATTAGGAGAATACCGATATTTAGCCATTTCTGAAGGAAGTCCTGGTAAGACTTCTTTCCACACAGCTAGTGCAGTGCCCATTGCTGGAAAGAAACACTTTTCTATCAACAACCCTCCTAGAAAATGCTTCACACAAAACATTGCTAATATCGTCTTAAACTAGTGCTGTAAGCAGACCTGTATTTTGTTGTTGGCAGTGATCAATATGTGTGTGGTGTCCCTCCCAGGTGAAAAAGAGTAAAAGAGCATGTTACCAACCTACTTTTCCAAGATCAGATCCTTTATATGTATTAACTTTTTAAGTATTTTTGCCAAAATATCCTCAGAAGTTACAATAGCCTGTGCTTCTCCTGCAGAGTATTATAGTGCTTTGTCACAAAGATAATTTTCATTGTGTTAATAATAATAATTGCTTACATTTATATACCACTTTTCTGGACACTCCACTCAAAGCACTTTACAGGTAATGGGGATCACCTCCACCACCACCAATGTGCAGCATCCACTTGGATGATGCGACGGCAGCCATAGTGCACCAGAACGCTCACCACACATCAGCTATCAGTAGGAAGGAGGGCAGAGTAATTAAGCCAATTTATAAAGGGGGGTTGTTAGGAGGCCATGATTGATAAAGGCCAATGGGAAATTTGGCCAGGACGCCGGGGTACACCCCTACTCTTTTCGAGAAACACCCTGGGATTTTTAACGACCACAGAGAGTCAGGACCTCGGTTTTACATCTCATCCGAAGGACGGCGCCTGTTTACAGTATAGTGTCCCCGTCACTTCACTGGGGCATTAGGACCCACATGAGCCGCAGGGTTAGCGCCCCCTGCTGGCCCCACTAACGCCTCTTCCAGCAGCAACCTTAGTTTTTCCCAGGAGGTCTTCCGTCCAGGTACTGACCAGGCTCACACCTGCTTAGCTTCAGTGGGTTGCCAGTTGTGAGTTGCAGGGTCATATGGCTGCTGTATGTTAAAGGGGAATCCTGGTCAGTCTCAAGTGAGCTCTAGTTCACTCGTCTGCAAGGTTCTGTTTCCACAGGTTTTGTGGAGCTGCTAAAACGTCAAAGACAAGGAAGGGTTTAAGATGGTTCAGACTTCAACTAGCTGAGTGATTTAGGCCAAAGGAAGAATGACAGAGTTCTGTTCTTGGATTACTCCAGAGAGATTATCTCAGTCTTATTCCAAGACGCATGAAAAATAGCTTCCGGTAGCTTTAAAAAATAGCTTTCTCATTTGAATTCCTCAAGGTCCCACCTCTCTGCTACTGTACTAAACATGAGGCAATTAGATGCTCTAAGGAATAGAAGAGACTTCAGCTCTTTTCAAATTATTTTTCTTCCTTTACTTTTTTGCCATTTTATTTCTAGCAGTGAGGTGGAGGAGGCTGGAGTGTAAGGTGTTAAGAGTAATCCTTCGAGATTGTTACCTTGGCATAGCTGCAGTGCCCTTCCTGCATGTGTTTCACAAATCCCCCGAGCTTTCAGGCTTAAAACCTCTGTGGTTTACATAGTCAAAACGACTGATGCCACTGAGGGGGAAAGTTTGAAATTAAAGCCTTCTGTATGGGGCCACTGATGACGGCTTTAAAAATGCATCAGAACTGGAACTGTATAAACACAAGGCTTTCAGATAGATGAGCTTTTTTCTCATACAGGCAAAGCTCATGTTGCTTCATTTTCTGAGGCTTGGAGCATTATGGTTTTAATATTTATGAGCACCCAGAGTAGCAGGCAGGTTCCTGTAGGTTTAATTGGATGCAGTTCTACAGTGCAGCTGTGGAAAAAGGTGTATTAAAGAGCCTGAATAATACTTAGATTTTCTAACATAGAAAGGGGTATTTTGAGGAAGCACTTTGCTTTGTATATGCTTCTGTTATTCCATAAATAAATAAAAAACAATTAAATCTATAAACACAATTGTTACACATAGGGATTTTATTATGATTTTCGGGTTAAAGATAACAAGATTTACCTAAACAGGATGTTTTATTTTAAAACTGTTATATTGCTAAGGACTCTCAGTTGTGTAATTGCATAGTAAGCTTTCAGATTTGTCATTTCAAAGCAGTCATGTATTTTTCTTATAGCACGTTTACACATCTCCCAATCTTTTAACTACAACATGGTAAATCAGGTTATGAAGACAATATCACTGAAGAAATAAAAATAATATGTTCTGCATTCTGTATTCTGCTTTTTGTTCTGCCTTGGCTGTCTTGGGGAATAGCTTACTCTTCAGGACAATAAACATCAACTTGAAAATGTAAAAGAGCTGTTTTCAAACTTGTTTGATCCTTTGTATCTAATGTTACCAAATTCACAGCAAACTGTATTACACAAAGCCAGTAAGGTAGTAGACAATGCTTCTACAATCTACACTATACATTTTTATAAATAGGAAGTTGCTTTTTATAGCATTTCTTTTTTCAGGTCACACATGTGATATGATACAACTCTCTGGTGACCAAGACGGTGAATTTGTGAGAAAGAAAGCAGAGATTTAACACATCCTGTTGTCATTTGGTTGTTCATTAGAATCTCCACAGGCAGAGTGCGAATGTGAAAAAGTTCATATACCTGTTCAGCTGCTAGTTGTTAAGATAGGTGAGAGACAGGACAGTGTATTTCTCCTAACATGCTTGTCATTATGTAGTCCTGTCCCCTCTCCCCCAGGGCGTGGTATGTTTTACACATAAAGAAGGAACTAAGGATTGAGACGGAAGTGCTCGAAATGGATTTTAATTCAGGAGGAAGCTTGTAGCGAGCTGTGTCCCTCTGACTACAGGATAAAAGAAAGATTCAGGCTGTGCTTAAGATGAAAGTGGTAATGATGCCATGGCATTCAGTCCCTAATCTAGAGAACTTGTGTTTTGCAGAGTATGTGGAAAACCTTGGAGATGGAAAAAGTGCAGAATTTAAAGAGAACGAACAGAAGAGGATTCTCGACCTTCTTGAAGACTTTTGATCCCACACCACTGATCTGTTGCAGGAGCACACGTGACTTCTCCACCCTCTGAGTCACCAGATCCGTGATGATTTGAAACCATGACAAGGGACAGTGCTGAACCAGGAATTTCAGAATGGAATTTGTGTAATTGTTTCAGGCAGCCATTTTTTTAATGCAACCCATCTTCTAAAAAACTTAGTGAACTTTTTTCCTAGAATGTAAATGATTTTTTTAAATAAAAATGTTTATAAGCAGACAGGAGACTATTCCACTGTACAGGTAAAAAGCAGTGATGTGTGAAATTAAAAATGTTTAAAATCGCTTTTTTTTGTTGTTCTTCCCACTAGTCCTTGTCTTTAACCACTGTATCAGCGGTTGTATTTTTTTTTATCTCAGTGTGGGTCTAGCTCTGAATATGTAGCAAGATAAGAGTCAATCTCATTCATGTTTTTTTTTTTAGAGAGCAAGTATTTTTTATAATGGAATATTTGTGTTTTGGACAATCAATTGATAAAACCACAAATCAGCTCAGGTCTTAGAATTTGCAGTTTCATTCTTGCAGTTCCTGAAGCGGCATGAACTTTAAAGCATTGTTTGTTCTGCAGGGAGTGATGCACCCCTGGAATCGGCACAAGACCAGGTTCATAACAGCCAGTCTGGGCACCAAGAATTCTTAAACAGATTTAGAGACTTAAAAATGCTACCAAAAACCCAGTTCAGAGTTCCTGTCCCATGGGGGTTTACCTTTAAATTCACAAACAAACCTTCGCAGAACGTGGGGTATCCTGCATGCTTTTATCTTTTAAAAAAATTATCAATGCAATGACAGTGTGCAAAACAAGCTAGAAATAGGAACAATGTTAAAATGCCAAGAAATGTTTTATTTTATTTAATGGTATTTATGAATGGCATTTTCACAGCTGAATGTACTACAGTACATCTCATATTTGAAAGCTATGAAGTTAGAAGGAAGTGCACCTTGATTCAGATTCATGACCTTTCTTCTACCCTTGACAGTTTCTGGGAACTGTTAGTGCAGACATGAGTCAGTTTGGTCTCCTTACATTCCATTTAGAGCAGTGTTTTTCAGTGGAACACTAAGGCTATAATTGTGCATAACTGCCTGCTAGTCCTTTTAATTGAGGTGTTTCTTTCTTCATGTGGTTCTGTCTTAACTGTAATTGTAGCAGTATTCATCAGTAATTTCTTCTTGTAATGGCATTTGCAATGGCAAAAAGACTCATTTATTCACAGAGTGATCATTTTGAACTTGTAAATGAAAAGTCCTCTGTTTCTTGCATGGATTGTGCACAGTGGAATAACTCTAGAAATAGCCTTAAGGTATTAGTTCTTTGTATGATTTTAGTGCATTATGTCCCAAATCATAACTAGCAATAAAACAGCCAGTTGGAAACACTTTTATTAAATGTTATATATTAAATCTAGGTAAAAATGGCTTGCTAAATTTAGATTTTCCTGCATGTCCTAAACAGGCGGGGAGCCTTAGAGAAGTTAAAATGCAACAAATGACTTACTGCGCTGCCTTGCTTTTAAGTCTTATCACAGGTTTGCCTCTTCATATCAAATGCTTACTGAAGCACTGGTTTCAGCTTTCCCATTAACCGAGTCTCTGAGTAGAAATGATCAAGTTCCTTGCTAACAAGCTGTCTCCAGCACTTAGCTGGGGGAAGCAGGAAACCTGCAGGTGTCGTGTCCCTTTCTCTTCCCAGACATCAGCTTCAATTTAACCCACATCGCTACAGACTAAGTGCTGACACATCAGGAAGAAAAGGCTTTTCAGGAAAATTGTGAAAAGTGCATTAGGTTTCCCAGCACCTTTCCTCTCAAAGTAGAGAGACAAAGTGAGAAATTGCCTCTAAGATCTCTTAAGACACAGAAGGTCAGATTGTTTTTCTCTGTTTTATGTTTTATAGTTTTAGATTTTTCTAGTGTTAATTTGCCCCTCTTTCTATTTTTTCTCAGCTCGCGATGTATCACTTTTTTAATAAAAGGAAAAAAGCAATGATATTAACATGATTTCTTCCTGTATTTTCCAGGAGAGATGATATTGTACAAAATAATAAACAAAACTAACAAATATCAAAGCAATTCCTCCAATTTGTGGCTAAACATTGCCATGTATTGCCTACATTTCAGGCCATCTTTAGTGTATAAAGTTAACAGGATAAAGCTTACTACCGCATGCAGCAGAATGGCAACACGAGACAACACACTTGTCTATTAAAGCCATAGCCAGCAGCCTGCAACTCACAGCTGGCATCCCACTGAAGCTCAGCAGGTGTGATCCTGGTCAGTACCTGGATGACAGACCTCCTGGGAAAGCTAAGGTTGCTGCTGGAAGAGGTGTTAGTGGGGCCAGCAGGGGCGCTCACCCTGTGGTCTGAGTGGGTCCTGATGCCCCGGTATAGTGATGGGAACACTATACTGTAAATAGGCACCATCCTTCAGATGAGATGTAAAACTGAGATCCTGATTCCTGTGTTCACTAAAAATCCCAGGGTGTTTCCCTGTGGGGTGTTACCCCAGTGTCCTGGCCAAATTTTCCCATTTCCAGTCATGGCCTCCTAATAATCCCCATCTATGACCTCATCACTTCAGTTTCAGCTCTCCTCCCCACTGAGAGCTGGTGTGTGCTGAGCAGACTAGCACACCCTGGCTACTGTCACATCATCCAGGTGGGGCTGCTCATTGGTGGTGGTGAAGGGGAGTAGAGCACTTTGAGTGGAGTGTCCAGAAAAATGCTATACAAGTACAAGGAATTACTATTATTAATTAAAGCTCACTTACATTCAGAAAAAAATGTGTACCAAGGAGCACACATTCTACAAATTAAACTGCACAGCTTCAGCATATGGAGTGAAAAATTCTCATGAAGTAGAAATCCATTTCTGTCTTTAAAATGCAAAATCTGCAAAAGGATTTGGTCCATGTTTGGTTTTGCAACACCATATTGGTAGAGCAATGGTGCTGGGTGCCACTTGCAGGAGAGTAACTGTAGATGCACAAGTATCTGTAAAAGGTTTGGCATGTGGTAGCAAAGATCTTGATCTTCCATTACTGCTCATTTGTATACAGTACTAGCAAATATTAGCCTGGTGAACATGAATTAAAAATCAATTGGCCCCTCTTTAAAAAGGTTTGTGATCTAGAAGTGAAAAGGCTGATGAAAACACATGGAAGTGGTATTAGAAAATTCATAACATTACACTGGCAACCTGCACAAGCAGGTACTGTACACTTTCAAGGTGGGTTTCTTTAATTTGGGCAAAATGTTCCTTATTGTTAATGGACATTTACATATGAGAAAATACAAAGCAAATGAGCTTCTGATTTGGAGCCTCTGGATAATTTCTCATGCCTGTCCCTGTATGAGAGCAATTGTATGAGAAATGCACAGCAAACTAAAATTTATCTCCCCTGGGGGACCTGTGCATTAACTACAGCCTCCAGTCCTGCACAAGGACATATGAAAGCAAAGTAGACCCATTTCTTCAGGTTGTATAGTGTTAATGCCTTAGTGACATTTACTTTTGAGCTTTCTTTGTAACCTTTGAAGCTGAAGATGGGAAGGGAGAAAGCTGTCAATCCGTATAATGGGGATGAAACAGCAAACAGAATTTGATTTCTAAATGAGAGGCCTATAGTTTCTGTACAGTATCTATACGTGTCTCTAAAATATTTGAAGATCTGATAAATGTAGCTGCTGTGTATGAGACTTCATTTCAGAATAAAAGTATAGATTACATCTTCATACTCAGATCTTTCCAGGTATCACTTATCTTTATCTCCAAACAGAATAATACACTGCACAGTACTGATCATCCTGCACAAACCAGATGCTTTTCTATGTGTAAAGTCAGCTTTGGCATGCTTCTGAGATTTTCAAAGTCCTTTTATTTTATCTGCAGGAAGTGGTGGCAGTCGTGGGAGTTTGAGATGTATTGATAGAGATTTAATAGAGCACATGATTAATAGGAAAAAGACAACAAAGACCAAGGACATGTACGAGCACAGTACTCCTAGAATCTATTCTGCATTTGCACATTAAGGAACAGATTTCTGTCAGTAACAACATGGTTGTCACCTATTTTATATTCTGCAAGGTAAATTTAATTGCAATCCAAAAGCAATTTTAATTACACACAAAAGCCATGTGTTTCATAGTGCAATGTGTGGTAGTTGTGTGATTTGTTGCAGTTCTGATGTGACTTTAGGTCCAGATTGTATCTCCCTGGCAATCTTTATAATATAAAGGGTGAGCTACATTATTCTCTAAGGTGTACTGTTATCTGATCGTGAAGCAGAGGCACAGTGTAAGTAGATGTTGCTCTTATTCATCTCTGAATAATCACAAAGCGAACCCTGAATGCAGAACTGGGGGTCGTTGCTTGTCTGTGCATGTGTTCCAGGGGTTTGTTATCTAAGGATGCCCATCATGCTTGCAAGTAGTCTGCTTAACAGTCACGCTTGGTTGCCACTCTGGCATTTGTCAGAATCAGGTGGAAGCCACTGCCATGTGTATCCCAACAGATGCCGTATGAACATCCTGCATTCCGTTATAATAACGCTCATAAACAACAAATGGTTCTTGTTGCACACTCATTCCTTTTCTGAAGCTCTCACAGTACACGCCCATGATCACTGATTATTGCATTAACAGCAGTTGTACAGCAATTTCACAGCAGAGCAGTCATGGAACACATATCTTTGAAAATGATTGAATCAGGCACAGCATTAAGCAATTTCAGAGGTTTTTTAATACAGACAAGGCAGTGGCTTTTGCATTAGTGAGTAAAGAATTTCTCAGCAGAATAACAGTAGAAATTATGCTATAATGTTGATAAGTTACTGTGATGATGTGCCGGACTGCAGAGTATAAACAGCGAGGAGGTGATTAAGGATGTTAATTGGCAAGATGATCAAATCAGCCAGAGCTCTAATTCTCTGCTGATTTAGAAAGCCTGTTTTAATTAGTCAACCAAGTTGCTGCTTTTCCTTGTCTTGGGGGATAGTTTGGGGCAAAAGATGTGGCCTTTTTGTTAAAGTTGCAATTCATGTTCTTTTAAATCACTGCATTTTATTTGATGTTTGAACAGCGCTACAACTAAGGTTGTTAAACTATACTATCATCTGACCTAGGACTTTTTTTTACAAATCTGCTCTGATGCCAGTAGAATTCATTAGTAGAAACTGATGCTTTCAGTGCCATTTCATTTTTTAAGCCACCTTAATGTATTCTGAAAACAAATTGTACTGTTTTACTAGGTTGATGTAATACACTAATTCCTGACTTATGTTATA